TTCTACACCTTTCTTTCAGTTGACATATTGTAAGCAGACAATAGCAGTTTTAAAATGAAACAGAAACTCTTATTTGTTTAAAAGGCAACTTAGTTTTGCCTTGATAAAATATCTGATGACACTTGCTTTTAAACAGTTGTTTTGTAAACTTATTCGGGTGATGGAGTATCTGGACCTCATGATGCTCTTTGTGGAGCACCATGAGATAATGATATTCTTTCATGCTAACAAGAAAGGTTTGCTAGCAGAAATATGCCTATGTTATGAAATATGAAACCACAACCAAACTTCGATACTTTTGAAAGAAGCAGCTGAAAAGTAGGCATGATTTGCCAACTCTGAGGTTTTTCATTAACAGTCATTTGTTGCTTAGACATTCTTTCCTAATTGTTTGTATTTTTTCTTTGTCATGTGATAGCTCTCATTTATAGAAAAGTATCCAGAGACAGCAAAGGTTTAGTGGAAACCATATTTGGGGAAAAAACCCTAAATTTAAGAAAATTCTGTTAATTTGCTTAGTGGCATGTGTGTGTACATGAGGAAGACTGCTGTAATTCAGTTTTATTGGTAGAAAATTTAGCTCCATTTGCCAAGCAGCAGTGTTTTGTGGGAATCTGTCTCTTCAGCTGTTGATTTAGAGCCCTGGGGCTATCTGCAGAGATTTCTCAGCACCTGCTATTACCTTGTCCTCGGGAGCATAGATAAGGTAGCTCACTTTCTTCTTGGGTGATGAAAATGAGTCGCTTGACTCGTCCAGTAGGTTTTTATTGCAGCTCTAATCTGTTTTCTTCTCTAAATTAGGTATTAATAAGGCAATATAGAATGATAGAGACTAACATAATTTTTTCTTTTAAAGATTTTATTTTTTCCTTTTTCTCCCCAAAGTCCCCTGGTACATAGTTGTATATTCTTCGTTGTGGGTCCTTCTAGTTGTGGCATGTGGGACGCTGCCTCAGCGTGGTTTGATGAGCAGTACCGTGTCCGCGCCCAGGATTCGAACCAAGGAAACACTGGGCCGCCTGCAGCGGAGTGCGCAAACTTAACCACTCGGCCACGGGGCCAGCCCCAAGACTAACATAAGTTTTTATTAGAATTATGTTATCTTAGAGTTGGAAGGAACCTTTGTCATCTATTAATATCATACAGAGGACAAGAATTCCATTATATGTAGGTTGACCATATAATTTTTTTTGAGAATGAAGAGATGGAGAAAATGCTAAATTGAATGAAGCCCTGGATCAACAGGCATATCGTGGGACTGTTCTAGGGAAAACAGCTGTATGGTCATCCTAATTATACATCAGCCTTGCCTGAAATTATTTGTTGCTTCACAGAAAAGCTAGGACTAGTAGTTAAAAAATTAAAAGTCCTTTTATAGAACTAAAATTTGTCTCCTTACAGCTCCTAACTCTTCTTCCAGTTTTGCCCTGTAGTACTAAACCTAGTCATAATATGGTAGCATACAAAATATGTTAGCTCTTCAGATACCTTTTTTGAATTGAGGTAACATTGGCTTATAACAGTATATAAGTTTCAGGTGTACATTATTATATTTCAGCTTCTATAAGACTATGCTGTGTTCACCACCAGAGTTCTAGTGGCCATCCGTCACTGTATGTATGTGCTCCTTTACCCTTTTCAACCCCCCTCACTCTGGTGCCTTTTTTTTAACACAACTTAAAATTTTTTTTTCAAAAATCTTAGTTCTTTTGTTGTATTTATGACCTATGCCCAAATTGAAGCAGAAAAGAAGAGAAAAGAAATGAGAAGAAAAATGAAAAAAAGGCCATACTAACTGGCGGGCCCACCAGGCTCTGTTACAGGGCGCTGTTCACCAAACACCACTCTATAGCACTTCCATACATTCTCATCTTGGTACATTTAGAAAACATTCAGTGAGGTCTCTAGCTTCTCAAAGCTTCCAGTTATTACATTAATATTTTATCACCTTAACATAGAATGAGGGGCTATAGTAAAGGAGACAGGCCTGTTAAAGGAAAAGAAACAATAGTTATACACAGGAATGCTAGACTTCCAGCTAGAGTTAATCATAATGCTTACAGTTTTCTTATCATTAAAAATACTCAATATACATCTCTAAAGACTAACTGCAGATACATTTAAGAAAGCCTTCTTGTCATCCTTTCATCCTTCAGGCTAAAAAATCATGGTTCAATATGCAACTTTTCATCACCCTAGTCACTATATTAAAGACATATTTTAATTTTCATGTGCTATTGCCCACGTTTTTTCAGAAGGATCATAAATAGGACAAGCTGGGAGGATAACTTGAGGTGAGGTGTGGAGAGGACACAGAGCCCAGTCCACTACTGTATATATGTAGGTCCCACCTTACTCCCCCCACCCCTTTTTTTTGCTGTTTAGATAATCATTAAAGAATGTAAAATAGAACCACTGGACAGCATGATTAAGGAAAAATTTTCACATATAGATTGTCTAATTTGATAAACATGTAATTTGATTTGAACCTTTGTAGGGATTTAGTTACCAAGTATTCAGAGTAGGTTAATTTATAGAGGTACTAAAGATATCAAAGTTACAATATTCCATTTAAAGTAAATTGGAAATTCTATGCTGCAGTGGGTAGAGATTGTTGACTGAGCTGCTGTTGGGTTTTACTGTTGACTTGTAGCAAAAGTAATTTTGCTACAATTGGACATTTTGGAAAAATAAAACTGGAGGTGTTACATAGGGCAGTTTTACATACGTACATAGGGTATGTTTTACAAATTCCAAAGCTTTACTTCTGAGATCATATGTAAAAGTGTCTGTAGTTATTCTTTTTATTGTAGTTATTTGAATATATTTGACAGGTTTTAAAAATGAGTTGGCCGTGCTGGAGAGCACATTTATGTATTTGATGTGATAAAGAGTGTTTCTTGTGAGGAACTAGAGGAGAGCTGTTGTGTCATGTAGGATTGTTTTCTGTAGTGTGATTCATCTCCCTTTGCAGCATAATAGTAGATATGGAAAAACGGTTTCCTCTTTTGACACCTTCACTGTTAGTCACTTGTTTAATTGATATTGCTAAGTATATATCTGTACTTTACTTTTATTTGCCTTAACTTATTCATCTAACGTTTTTGTTCCTAAAAGTATCATCAAGATGACTAAATTAGAAATTCTCCTGGGTTGCTTGTAATGGGAAACATGGAAGATGCTTTGTGACACCGGGGTGGAGTGTTGCTGGTCAGGATGGTGGTCATTTAGTGCCTACTTGGAAAAGTGCTGCAAGTAAACGTTAAGCTCATACAAAGTTCACTTTATGGTTATTTGGCCTTAGAATTCAGTCTTTGTGAATGGATTTTATTGTATAAACCTTGATGTTGTGGAAAAAGTTGTCTTACTAACTTGAGAAATGATTTTAGCTATGTTTATGACAGTTTTGTTAAAAATTATAGTACATTTATGAACTCACAAAAGTGTTTTGTTAGTGATCACTTACCAAGACACATGCCAACAGCAATGAAGTAAATTGACCTCCTATTTTGCTTTGCATATTTATCTTTTAGTTTTTAGAGGCAAGTGAATGACTACTTATTGGACTGGTAGAGAGCACCACAAAATTTCTGTTTTTGAGTCCATGAAATAAAGTATATCAAATAAAAGGGAAGAAGAGGCAACTAGTATTTATTAAATGCCTTCTCTGTGTTAGGTGTTATGCTAGATGCTTTCTAAATACTGTTTTACCGTTCTGTGGGGAGTTTGGCTGCTTTCAGAACTTACAGGTGGAGAAGACACTGAGGCACAGAGAAGATGAGTTTATCAAAGTTCCTAAAAGATGGAGCAAGAATTTGCATGCTCCTCTTTCTAAACTCCAAAATGCATGTCCGTTTCACTACATCACAACATGGATTTGTATGTGTACAGATTTGCTCTGTGACAAAATCTTTTGGGGGGATTATTTTTAGCACTGAATTGCTTAAAATAACAGGAATAAATTAAGATACAAAAGTTGCATAATGTTGAAAACCTGTGTTTTCTATTCAAACCAAGATTTTAGTTATTTTTAAATTATCTTAAAGATATTTTAATAAGACCTGTTTTCCAAATATATTTAAGGCTCAATTATAGTACCTTTTTGATGAGTCACTTTTTAGAGTATTGATGCTTTTGGTTGACCTTGGATTAGTTGCCTGTGTGTAGTTACTACTGCCTCCTAAAGAATGACCATTTAAAAGATGGCCATAAATGAAGTAAGAGGTCTGCGGCCACACTGCTCGGGTGTGATTCCTGGCTTTACCTTCCTAGCTGTTGTGATGTTGGAAAGTTACTTTAAGCTTCTGTACTGTCGTTTTTTTTCCCTTTTAATTTGTCAAATGGGGCTAGCAGTTTCTATTTTACAGGTTTGTTGTGAGGATTAAGTGAGTTAAGTTATTAAAGATCTCAGCATATTATCTAGCACTTACTGAGATTTCAGTAAATTTCTTGTGATGAAGAACATTTTCCAGAATTTTATATATATACTGACTCTTTTTGCTTATAAGTAGTTCTTTTGGTATTTGAGAAAACCTTGTTAGAATATTCCATGTTTTTGGAAAGTTTAAACATTGTTATTCCATTTCGTTAATTCAGTTTATATTCCCAGTTATTCTAGATACTAGTGTAATAGAAATGGTGTGGTACTTGTATTATTAGGATTTTACTTTTCTTTGCGCTACGCAGTGATTGATAAATGATAGACAATATTTACAGTAATATTGAATGAATTTAAATCTATTTGTAATCATGAATGTTTTTTCTTTATAAATTCTTAATGGTTTGAACTTCATCTTTATTGTAAAGAAACTCAAAATTCTAAACTTCTTAAGAACTGATTAGGTCTCTTGAAATTATGCTCATCTTTTTAACTGCTGTTTTACTTTGTTTTTAACTAAAAAGTGACCCTTGCCTGAAATGATCTTCATAAATTAGCTTAAAATTCTAAAAAGTAATAATCAGAGTCACCTTAATGTTTCCTTTTTGCTTTGTTCTCTTAGCTTCACAATGAAGAGGATAATTCAGAATCATCTGCTGTGGAGCAACCATCAACTTCCAACCCAGCACCACAGGTTGTACAGAGCACCCCTTCAGCAGCAGTACTAGAAACTGACTCTTCTCCTCCACCTTATAGTAGTATTACTGTGGAAGTACCTACAACTTCAGGTATTGTTGTTTTTAGTGTGAAACCACCAGTAATATTTTTAATAGTTTAGCTTTTTTTTTAAACGTAGTTTTGTGTAGTTAAATCAAGTCTGTTAATGGGGTTCTTTGAGTTTATGATTTTTTAAAAAAGGTTTTCCTAAGGATAGTTTCTAAAATGTTTACTTCATACATTACTTGTCTCATATTGTTGTTTTAAAAATTAATTTAAAAGTGTAGCTATTTAAACTTCCTTATTCTCACTAGAATCTTTTCCCAATGGACTAGTATATAACTTTTGGAAGAAATAAATAAACATATATACATTTATGCACACATGCATATATAAATATACACACATACATGCATATATGTGTGTGTGTTTTTATCTACTTACATAGTCGTAAAACAAGGAGTTATAGATGATGAGTGTGAGTGGGAATGTGGTGAGTATATGTGAATGGAGATGAAGGGTATATCCCATACAAATGGTAATCATTCTTAGATATAGGGCGGTGATTCCTGCTTGCTACTGTTCATCTGTCCTTTCAGGTCATTCTAAAGAACTGCCCTCATCTATTTCTTTGGCCACAATTTGTATTTTCCCAGTAATGCTAAGAAATTAATCACTGTATAATATTTTAAATACAATTTTGTATATTATTTTAAATAACCTCTGCTGTTATAAATAAATAAACCTCTGCATTATTATAAATAAACCTCTGCTATTATAAATAACCTCTGCCTCATGCCAGCTTTCTCTGGTTACCCTTTTTGCCTGTCCAAATTTTATCAAGATCATATGGGATGTGTAAAAAGACTTAATATTCCTTCCACCAAATCTATTTCCTTTTTTATGCAGTTATGAAAAATCATCTCCATGGTGTTCTCACTAGTTAAATTAGTAAATGCTTACTCCTTCTATTTGTATATAATGTTTGTTGATCAATATGCTTGTCCTGTGCCCAGTTTGGTGCAGTTTTTATATTGATTTATATCAGTTTTATGGGTCTTTGCCCATAATATTTAACAGATAGATTGGTGGTTGCTAAAATTTATTATGGGCTAAATTTTCTTCATTATTTTTCAAGTTTACAGAGTATAGTGCAGTGAATTTGCTACCCTAGATTTTAAAAAAAATTTGATGGTAATCTTGAGGAAGGAAAATCCTAATGATGTCTGTGTCTGAATGATGGAGGATGTAAGAGTGAAATTGCAATCTCTTTGTTGTGCTACCATTGCTATTGTCATGTAACAAATACTTGAGATCTAATGGAGTAAAATAGCAATCATTGATTATTATTAATTCTCATGGTTTTGGGGGTGGACTGGGCTCAATTATGCACTTCTCTCCCAGGGTCTCATATGACTGTCGTCTGATAGTGACTGGGGCTGGAGGCATCTTTCAGGCTTCCTTATTCACCTATTGGCAGTTGATGCAGGCTTCAGCTAGGGCCTCAGCTGTGGCTGCCGGTCAGAATGCCTGCATGTGGTCTCTTGTTGTGGCCTGGGGTTTCACAGAATGGACGCTGGGTTCTAAGAACAAGCATTCTGAGAGAAAGCCTGGTGGAATCTATATTACCTTTTATGATATTGCTTCAGAAGTCACACAGTGTCACATCTGCCACATTTGGTTTGTTAGAAGTGAGTGACTTAATTTAGTCCTTATTCAAGACTCTTGAGGAATTAGTCTCCACCTCTTGATGGGAAGAGTTTCAAAGACTAGACTAAGGTTTAAAACTACCACAACTGCACACTGCCTCTTCCTCCACCACCAAACCTCCTTTGGCAGTCTTCCCCGTTTCAATAAATGGCTCCAGTAGGCCAGAAAGCTTGGACTTATCTTTTTGGTACCTTATAAAATTACGTGGTTTTTCTCCTTCAAATTTTGATATAATGAAGTATATTATTAGTACATTTCTTATTTAAGATAATTCATCCCTGTATTCCTGGAATAAATTCTGTTTGTCATCATGTTCTAGTCTCTTCTGGATTTAGATTTGTTAATATTTTATTTAGAGTTTTTGCAGCTTTATTAGAGGGATCTGTAACTTTTTGTACTGTCTTTATGGTTTTGGTATTAATTATTATGGAAGCAACGTATAATGAATTGAGAAGCTTCTCATTTTTCTGTGATCTGGAATAGTTTTCATAATGTGGCATGGCATTTTTAAAGATTAGATAAATTTCAACTGTAAAGCAAGTTGAGCCTGGTACCTAGATGTTCAGTTATTCTCACAGTCTCCTCTGTGATCACTGGTCTTTTTTATTTTTTATACCTGTGTTAAAAGGCCATTCATAACTATAATTGAGCACAAGAGCTGAGTAATTCTAGAATTTTGAGTCTCTATTTAATGAAAACTATTGATATTGTTTTTCTGCAGCTTCTTGGTCAGTACTGTTGTATTTGAAGCGTAGGTCGTGCTGGTTTTCTGTGGAGACTGTTCTTCAGGAGGTCACTTTATGGCTGGTTTCATAGATCTGAGCAACGTCAGTAATAATAAGTGACATTTGTATAATGCTTCACAGTTTACAGAGTCCTCTTGAATACTTTTCTATTTCATCCCATAATAGCAAGTGATAGCCTTTCTGGGTCCATTTTATGGATGAGAAAGTGGAACTTCATAGTGCTTAAGTGATTTGCTTGAAATCACACAGCTTCTAAGAAGAGGAGCTGGAACCAGAGCTCCCCAGACTTTAACTCCTATGGTTGAGATCCACTGCCTTAAAGGGTAGAAGAAAAATAAGTAAAACTAACATGTAAAAATTAAACCTGTAGCATTTTAGGCTCCTTCCCAACTTTCATCTCTTACTGGTGAGGATATTTTTTCCATCTTGGGTGTTAAAACTTTTCACAAACTTACATTAACTGTTGTTAATGTAAAAGATCTCATCTCCTTAGGAATGTATGTCATTGTTCCAGTTTTTAAAATTTACATTATTAATGTTTTTGCCTTAGAATTCGTCACCATTGTTTTCAGTTAAATTTTGCTTCTTCTGTTGTCTTCAGTACTAAAGAAATCTACTTGATTGTGTATGGTGTTTTTACATCCTAATAATAAGTCTTTTCAATGAATTTGTGACTCTTGTGTCCTGTGGTGGATAACATTCAGTGTTATACTTCTACTACCACTTCCTGTCGTTAGATTAAAAATTGCCTAACTTCAGTTCCTTAGCTCTTATTGATAGCATTAAAAAAACTTATTTTAAAACCTGTATGTTAAAACATAATAGGAAAAATATTATTAGAGTGAAATGTGTTTTCATGTTAGAAATGTAAGAAATTCTGATATAATAGAGGAAATCACAGAAGTGATGTTGAACATTGTGATATATACTACTTTAAGAATCTACCTGTATTTCATGTCCGTGATTCTACCGTAAGTTTAATCAGTTGATTGACCTGTATGTATCATTTTGCTTACACTACTTAAGTTTGGCACTAAGTGTTCAGTTTTTTTTTTTTAAATTAGTAATTTGTACTTACTATTGTAATATATTTCTGGAGATCATATTTCAACAATAGTTTACAAATTGAGGAGAAAGAAATTCTTCATAAAAGAAAAGTCTAAAGAGCAAGGTAGATATGAAAAAAACGGGAGGAGAAAGGGACAAGAGTGAAGAAGAATTTAAAATTAATCTTTTAGGAAAGAAATACTGAGGAGCCGGCCTGGTGGTGCAGTGGCTAAGTTCGCATGTTGCACTTCGACAGCCCAGGGTTCGCCAGTTCAGATCCCGGATGCGGAGATGGCCCCGGTTGGCAAAAAGCCATGCTGTGGTAGGCATCCCACGCATTAAGTAGAGGAAGATGGGCGTGGATGTTAGCTCAGGGCCAGTCTTCCTCAGCAAGAAGAGGAGGATTGACAGTAGTTAGCTCAGGGCTAATCTTCCTCAAAAAAAAAAAAAAAAACTAATAAAAAAAAAGACAAGTACTGAATTTGCTTATGAGATTTGAGCAGTTGCTAAAACTGACATGTGTAGAAGATTAACCTCATATATTATCAGAGAAAAGTGCTTGGAGTGAGGAAATCCCTGGGTTCTGCCACTTGCTGGTAGTGTAATACTGGGCAAATCACTTAGCTTTTTGAACCCCAGAGTTGCTAAGATTAATGTCTATAGAAATGGTATTTTAAATAGTACTATTTAAGTGTTATTACTTCTGATATTTGTACTTTTTTTGCTGTGAGGTTATGGGCAAGTAAATTCTTTAACCAGGGCAATAGGCTTATAGAGGATGCTCACATGTGGTGAGTTTTTTTACCTCCACTGTCTTGCACAAATTTTCCACGTCTCATTCTTGATGTTCTTATTTTGTCTTTCAGCCTTTAGATGATATTATTAATCTTTTCTGTTTATGATAAAATGTAAGATTAAAATAATATGTATAATTGCAGTAGTAATTTGTATGTTATATATCTTATAGGACTACAAATAGCAGTATTAATCTTTAGTGGCCTGTTGTAAATTATTAAATTATATTTTTGGCTATAAAAATTGTATTAAATAGTTTTATTTTAATGGATATCTTTTTTAATCTTTTTTCTTCAGATACGGAAGTTTACAGTGAGTTTTATCCTGTGCCACCTCCCTACAGTGTTGCTACCTCTCTTCCTACATATGATGAAGCTGAGAAGGCCAAAGCTGCTGCAATGGCAGCTGCAGCAGCAGAAACATCTCAAAGAGTAAGAAGATTTTATCATTTCCTTTTGAGAATATTATTTTTATTAATTGACATGTACATTTAATAATATCAAAAATAGTTCTTTGTGTTTGTGTGCGTAGATTTTGTTTAGTATTTTCTCTGCTACCACTTATGTGTGTCATTATTTTTGGATGAAATTAGCACTCTCCTTCTCCATTCACCTTCTGCGTTCCTTGGTCTCCTCGTTTCTATCTCCGTTTCTGTTTCTGTTGATCTTCCCCTGCACCCCATCTTAGCTTGTGGTCATCCTAGACCTTATCTTTACCGATACATTTATCACTTGCTAAAGTTTGATTTCTCTCACCTTGTGTCCTGACCTTTACTACCCATTCTGACTCCTTCACTCTAGTTACCCCCATCCCATCAACCTCTTCACTGTGGTGTCCTTATTTTCCTTCTTTTATAATTTAGATTTTGTGGTCCATAAGTAATTATAGATCATCTTTTTTTCTATTCGTATCTTATGTATTAGCATAGCTGGTCTATTGACTATGTGTGAACTCAAGGTAGATTAAGTTACAAGAGAAATAATGTACAAGCCTTTAAATTATGTTTGTCAATTCACTTTGGGTCTTTTTTGTTTTTTTCCTTTTAACACTTCCCATCCTAGAATTTTGGAATAATAGTCAAGGATTCCACCTGCCCTTTTTTCCTCATCTTCCTGTCTTAGTAATAGGGTCAGTGATACACATGTATGTTATTACTCATTCTGATGAAAAGGATTGGCTGTCTCAGTATAGAAGAATCGTTGAGATGCATGTATGCTATTCTACAGGCAGGTAAAAGGTGGAAATTATCTACATTTTAGTGGGCTGCAAGCAAGACAAGTTTGTTGCCCTTTTTTTTTGCTTCAAACTTTAGAAATAGCATTTCAGATCCCTGGATTCATCCCATGTCGTCAGGAAAAGGACACAAAAAATCACTTCACACAGGAAAGCTAGAATTAGGTGAGGGGCAGAGGGAGAGAAAGGCGTTGCTGTGTACAGCATTCTCTTCTTCCTGCCCTCAGCCAGTGCCTAGCGAGTAGACTATCTATGGGTGAGAGTTTTTCCTGGATGGGTTTCTTTCATCAGCTACAACCCTTTCCATACCTACTCCCATGCCCATCCTCCCACACATACACAGTTAAATGTCAACAATAGTTTTGGGCACATAAGTAAAGACAGTAAACCTGAAATTTGTTATTTATGCCTTTTCCCTCTGAGGGGGAAGTAAGTCTCTGTTAAAACAGTGGCATAAATATATATCATTCAGTAAGGATTTTTGATACTGGGAAGGGAGAATCATAGAAGAGGAGGATAGATCTATAAAGTGTGGAGTTTCTATCAAAATCAGCTCTAGATTGCTCAGTGCATATGTATTTGTTCATGAATTTGTATACATGCACACATTCTCAGTGAAGTAGAAGGACAGTAACTCCTTTTCTCATGGAGTATTTCCCTAGAGATCTTGGAAATGGCAACGGTCCTTAAAGGATCTTAGAAACCTTGGGTCCTCAACTGCCCTAACTTCCACAAAATAGATTAGAACTCGAGAGAGAAGGTAGAAAGCATTAAGTCTTGCTCTCTGTGCTTTGAGAAAAGCATAAAGGTGATTCTACCTTTTGGAGAGAAAACTCTGAAGTGTTACTATTCCTTCCCTTCACTGTCATCATTCCCTGTGTCTTGTTTTAGAAAGTAATGTGATCCCCAGCCTGTATTGGAACATGTCCATAGAGAAAAGTGTTCTGTTTCCACCTGCTTCTCATAGCGTTGTAACTCGAGCCTGTAAGGATTGTGGAAAGTTTAATGGAAAGCAAAACAGAACTGTACACGAGAGAGGTCCTTGTAAACAATCTTTTAAATTCATCACTTTGTAACTCAGTGCTCCAGGACCCTCTTTCTGCAAAGTATGATTGAGTATGAGTTTCTGTACCTGATTCAGATAAAAAACTGGCCTGATTGGCATCTGAGTATATTCAGTTGTAAATGAATCTCAGCTGGATTGTCATTGAGAGACTGTAGGTAACCAGGAGACCTGGAAATACTGTTTTCTACAGTTTCCTATTTCTAATGTATAGGGTTGCATGTATAGTTATGGTTGGTTAAATAGACATATGGAAATGAACTCATTTTTAATATTTCTATGATAAATATTTGAATTCCAGATAATTCACTTTATAAAACTTTTAAAACATAGCTTGTTCATCAGTCTTATAACTTTATAGTGGGTAGGGTTTGTTTTTTGTACCTTGTTTTAAATTGTATGTCAGTAACTTGTCTTTTGACATAAAAACTAGCACTTGACGAATTGTGAGCAAGTTCAGGACAAGGACCTTGTGTTTATATTTCCAGCACCTGGCTCTTATCTGGCACATATTTGGTTCTTAATAGATGACAGTTAATTAAGTTAATGAATGCTTTTTTAAAAAGTTAGCCAATGTGGGAAATTAGGAAGAAGAAAATACCACAGTGATTCTATTACAGCTCTTCATTTTAAAATATTTTGATGTCTTTTACCAGTTTTAGGGTTTATAAATCAGTGTTGAATGTAGTTGAAATTATTGTATAATTACCATCTTTTATTCTTTAAACATTTTATATAAATATTTTTCTGTTATTTTAATGCATGAGTTAAATTCCATGGAATCAATATACTATAAATTAGTGGCCATTCCTCTTTAGTGAACAATTAGATTATTTTCAAATGTGTGTTTGTGTGTGTGAGTGTTTTCCAATGTTAATGTTGTAAAGGACATCTTTGTGCATATATCTTCTATAGTTTTTAAAATGATGTCCTATGATAAAATCTGTGGACTAGTGTTTCAAAAGAGTATGAAATATTTATATTCTTGCCATCATATTGACAGTGGTTTTGGGGGCCTCATACTGTGCTTTAATGTTTATTTCTTGAATAAACTTGAAATTTTATAAAATTTTATTTATATATTTAATTATTGCCAATCATTCTGTTTACTATAAGTGAGTTGCCTAGGATATATGTTTGCAGAGGTGAAGGGATCTTTTTGCCCAAATAATGAGCAATATGGTTTTGAAAATCTTTTTCTTCTAGGAAAGCTACATGTGTAATGAGCCTACATGATTGGATGGAAAGGAAATCAGTGTCCTGGATTCAAGTCGTGCGTTGACTAATTATGTGCTCTTGGGCAGGGCACTTAGCTTCTCTGAGCCTCTGTGTGTACTAACACAAAATTGAAACATCAACACTCAACTGAGATTATGTATATGTAACATGGAGATAATGTATATGTAAATCAGATCATGTCACTTGTCTGATCAAAACCCTGTAACATTTCCAAAATCATGCAGTAAAATCCAAGGTCCTTAAGTGGACTCTCTGACCTCATTTCTTCCTATTTCCTCTCTTATTTACTCTGCTTCAACCATACTAGCCTCCTTGCTATTTCTCTAACATGCCAGCTGTAATCCTGTCTTAGGACCTTGGTGCTGGCTTATTCCTGTACCTGAAATACTTTCTCTATGAGATATCTGCATGGCTCTCTTACCTCTCCCTTAAGTCTTTGCTCAAGTGTCACCTCATTGAGGCCTATCTGACCAACATATTTAAAACTGTAATCCTTAGATACTGGCCCAGTGGCATAGTGGTTAAGTTCGTGTGCTCCATTTCAGCAGCCTGGGGTTTGTGGGTTGGGATCCCAGACAGAGACCTACACACTGCTCATCAAGCCATGCTGTGGCAGCATCCCACATGCAAAATAGAGGAGGATTGGCACAGATGTTAGCTCAGCAGCAGTCTTCTTCAGGCAAAAAGAGGAAGATTGGCAACAGATGTTAGCTCAGGGCCAATCTTCCTCACCAAAAAAGCAAAAAAACCCAAAGACCAAAAAACTGTAACTCTTAATTTCATAGCATTCCTAAATATCCTTTTCTTACTTTTTTTTTTTTGCAGTGTATTTATACCTTTTAGTAATTATATAAATAATTTATTATATCCTTCTTGTCTGGCTCCCCCCACTGGAATATAGGCTCCAGAAAGACAAACATCTTTGTTTTATCTACATTCATATATCTCCAGTACCAGGAAGCAGAATCTTGTGTAGAAGGGATATTCCATCAAGATTTGCTAAATATTGAAGGCAATCAGTGATAACAGGTTTTGTGTATACTTTCAGAGAAGTTCTCTGCATTTATAAACAAATATATTAATATGTTAGTATATTATTTCTGTACACAAAAGATGCCGTGCTGTAATACAAATGATTTTTACTCAGTATATTTTAGAAATTGTCATTAGAATATTAACAACTTTTCTCTTTTTTATTTACTTTTAAATTTTTAAGTTGTTTTTTGAATTTCATTGTATAGATATGCAATAATTTATTTCATTGGTCTGTCAAGAATTATGAACAGTCTGAGATTTTATCCTACTTGCAAAATAACTGATTAGCTTGTCAGAGTTTTATGGGTGCTGGCAGAAGACATGAGACTGCTGGATCAGAGACAAAAACTCTATTATTCACAGAAGTAGTAGTAGCCAGAGTATTAGCATTTTTTCACGCCAGTTTCCTGAGCCTCGCTATCCATAGGGCAACTCAAAGAGGGCCAAGTGATGCCTCCACATGCAGTGTGGAACCCTGCGTTTAGGGAACCCAATATTTTCTAATGGTTAATAAGCATGCCCACATCTCTGCTCTGGAGGGAGAGACTATCTCTTCCGAAGCCATCTGCTATATAAACATCCTCAAAAGGAAGTACAGAAAAAAGGCAGCCAGTGCCTCTATCTGGAAGACATGCAGAAACATCAAAGACTGTTGGAGAATTATCTCCTGACAATAGTCCACTATTGATGGACATTTATATTGTGTCTCATCTATTGCTCTTATTAGCAATTGCTGCAATGAATTATCTTTATTACATCATTTCTTGCAGGTAGGAATATATGTGTATATTTGTACAATATATTTCAAGAGCTAGAATTGCTGAGTCAAAGGGTGTGTGCATTTTTATTTTGGTAAATATTGTCAACCATAGAGGTTTTACCAATTTAGACTCTACCACAGATTATGAAAATTCCTCTTTTCCCTTTGACACTAATGTGGCAATGTCACATCTGTCTTTCTAGATACCATTTTCATTAATTCAATGCTATTCAATTTTTATCTTTTTTGTGTTTATCTTTAAAACTATTCAAGGGTGCCCATGAAAAATTAATATTTGCTAGTATTTTTTGAGTAAATACTGTTCCAGACATTGTAGTCATTATCTCATTTTGCCTATGTTACAGCAAATTGAGGATGCTAAATTTTATTTAAATTCTTATCTTTACGCTTAAGGTAATAAAGTTGTAATTACTTTAGCAAGCTCTTCTAATGTTATATGTTTCACAGATTCAGGAGGAAGAATGTCCACCAAGAGATGACTTCAGTGATGCAGACCAGCTCAGAGTGGGTAATGATGGGATTTTTATGCTGGCGTTTTTCAGTAAGTGATCTGTCATTCCCAAACTTTTTTTTGCGTTATGTTGGCTGTATGTGTATTTAAAGTAACATAGACAGTGAGGAAAGGTAAATATTGTTAGTGGGTGTCTACCTTGTTTAAAATGTAAATTGTTTCTGATTCTGTATTGTGTGATCATATGTTACAGTATGAATTCTAGAATTTATTAAATGCTTATCAGATAACTATGTATTGCAGTCATCGTGCTAGATGCTGACTGTATAGAAATATATAAGCATATTTAAGCTGAATATGTTTTTGCATGAGAAATGCTGCATGTCCGTTCAGTGCTGTAGGAGCATGGAGAATGAAACGAAATTCTGCTTTTGCAGCAGAGGACTTCCATGTAGAGTCTTTAAGCAGGAGGAAGGGTTGGAAAAGGAGATATTTTGGGCAACTGGAACAATGTGATTTGAGACACAAAAGTAAGAAAATATGTCTTATTTGGGTGGAATGGTGAGTAATTAGAAGACTAGAAACCTAAGTGATATTTTTTAACATCTCGTAAAGTTCTTAATTTAATATTTGACTTATAGAGTAGACTTAAGCTACTGGAGGGAAGACTGTGTTAGTCTTCATTATATCAATTCCTAACACAGGGATTGGCATGTAGTATACTCAGTAAGTAATATTATGACACTCAAACTGTTTAAATTGCTAAACTCAGTTTTGGAAACCCAATATTTATATAAGTAAATTTATCAGACTATGATGTAGTTAATTTCTGTCCTCAACTTGGTTAAATGATCGAGCTTTCATACCTTCTTTGATAGAATGCTGGTTTAATTCATTTTAACTATAAGGTTTATTTTGATAATAAAACTGAGGAATAGTTTACTTATTTAAAGTACCACATTCAACTTTAAAAATAGAAAATACAGAAAATACATACTTCCTGAGTTGAGTTACTTTTGAGTCTGGAAATTCACTTACTTTTTCCTCTATTTTGAAGTGGTTTCTTGCTTCCTTTCATTTCATCAGCTAAAGAATAGAAGTGGATAACCACTCAGAAATGGCTGAGTGGATCAGCAGGCAGTTATATTTTTCTTTTCAAATGTGCTAGATTATATTCAGGTTGGCAGCCAGCTAATAATGTATATGCAAAATTTAAATCTTGTGGTTTTAGTAACAATTTGTAGTTAAATATGATGTTAGGTGCAATGAAAAGGAAATGAACACTTTGGCTACAAATAAATACTGTTTTATACTATTAGTTTTATACTACACCACAGGCTGGCCCCTCTTTTAAGAAATCTTAATTGGAAAAGAAAGAATTTAAATGTTTTGTACTTTGTATAGGATAATTACCTGATTCTTAGGAATAAAAACATGTTATTTGAAGGGCTGGCCTGGTGGCATAGTGGTTAATTTTGCACACTCCCCTTCGGTGACCTGGGGTTTGTGGTTTGGATCCCAGGTGCAGACCTAGCACCACTTGTCAAGCCATGCTGTGGCAGCATCCCACATAAAACAGAGGAAGATTGGCACAGGTGTTGGCTCAGGGCCAATCTTCCTCACAAAACAAAAACGACAAAAAAAACCCCCATGTTATTTGATATCTAAATGACTCAGCTTAGTTATTATTTCTCTATTTTTGTATTTCACTTAACCCTGCTATCTTCTGTTTAATCTTTGTTTTTTTTAGATTTAAAAAGATTTTACTGGTTTAACAGTGTTTTAAATGCATGATAACCTAAACTCTTGGTTGGCTTTATTTTTGGCCAGTGATGGTATATTACTTTATAAAAATGTAAATATATATTTATATTTAAGCTATTTACTGTCAGTTATCTGACCTTTACTACCTTTTTATTAAATTATGTTTCTGCAGCTTATATTTTATGCGTCCTATTCTACAAATATTGCACCAATATTATAGAAGTAAAATTATGAATTATATTTCACTTTCATTTCCTGATATATTTTTTCTGAGAGTCTGTGGGCCAGTGTTTAAGCTTATTTTGCTTTGATAAGCTTGGATTTATTTGTAATCACTACCATCTAGTGGCTGTTCTACAAATTGCAACTTACTGTATTTTCCATGCTCCTTAAACTGTATAGAAGCTATTATCTAGATTCTGTTCTATTGTATTTTTCTAAGGTCCAGAAATAGATTTTCTTTAATGTGGTTTATAACTTAAACATTTCAGGTTATATAAGTTATGCAAATAAAACTATAATGAATATCAATAAGAATATTTTCATTAAAACTTTTTATTGGTTTAATTCTTGCCTTCTCTGTTTTAAACATCTACATTTCAGTCTCTTAGCACATATAACCCTAAAAAAAGTTTACTCTTAAATTTGGTAAGGTAATTGCATTTTCTTGTTCAGAAAATGAAAAGAAGTACATGTATATAATTCCTGATAATTTTTTTGCTTCTCATAGTCCCTTGAAGCGTCACCACAGAATGCCTCATACCTGCTTAACGTGCTTGTACCTGATTTTATTTTTAACAGATTTTCTCTCTAAGAGTATGGAAGTCAGTTAATTAAAAGCTAGAAATTAAAATTTGGTTCGTTGGATAATTGACAGTCCGTAGAAATGACCTTGAACTCTAGGGTTTAAAAATGTAGTGGACTCTGTTTAGAAAACTTTTCTTCTGAAGTTTAGCCGTTTGTACCATGTGTGCATCTTCACATCAGCGTGCTGTAGTAATAATTGATCACCTGCATTATTCCCATTTTAGACTTGAGGGAAACATAATGAAAGAGCAGTTAAGTTATTTGTAACATTGAAAAGAATTAGAAGAGTGTTTTGAAACGTGAATTCTGATTTCTAAGAAATTGCCAAACTGTCTTCCAAAGTGGCTATACCATTTTTGCATTCCCACCAGCAGTGAATGAGAGTTCTTGTGCTCTGATCCTCATTATCATTTAGTATTGAAAATTTTTTTAAAATTTTAGACATTCTAATAGGTGTGTGGTGGTATCTCACTGTGGTTTAATTTGCATTTCCCCCATGATTAATGATGTTGAGCATCTTTATTCAGTAAATTCTTTTGAGCACCTACCATGAACAAGTCATAAAAGTTACAGTTCTGAAAGGGTTGTCTGGGCACCGCACATTGGAAAACAATACATTGATGGCTTGTTCTGTGCATAAAAGCTGTGTTTTTATATAGCTTTTAGATGGGCTTACATACTGTAAGTACATCCAGAAAGGGAACATCTAAGAATTGTAATTTTACCTTAAGAAACTCATATAAAATTTGCAAAGTATTAAAGTTTATTCAATATGTTTTGTTTACAAGAAAAATAAATCTGTCATCTCCTTGCTTATCGTTTAGTGGAAATGTCTTAAAACTAATAAATTGTTTGCTTCTTATCTTTCTTAATGATTGGCAGTTTAAAGAAAGAGAATTGTGTAAGGATACAACAGAAATTAATCCCTATGCAGTTCAGAATTAAGTGTAGTGAAATTGATTATTCTTGTCTGGGAACTTATTGTCTTTGAAACCTAGTGCATTTATATGTAATGAGAATTTTTCTGTGCTCCAAAAAATTAATAAGTGCTCAATATTAATATTATTTACATTCATTAATGATTTTCATTTGTTTATTTTCAAAGCAATTATCAAATTTTTTAAAATTTAAAACTTTTTTAACTTTTCGTTTTGAAATAATTTCAAATTTAGGAAAAAGTTACAAATTGCTATCTAACTTTCATCCAGCTTTTCCAATTGTTAACATTTCATGTAACTTCAGTCCAGTGATCAACATCAGGAAGTTAACATTATGAACTACTACTAACTAGTTTACAGACTTTATTCAGATTTTGCCAGTTGTCACACTGATGTCCTTTTTCTGGTCCAGGATGGAATCCAAGATTACACATTATATTTAGTTGCCATGTTTGGTTAGTCTGTCGTAATCTGGAACAGTTTCTTAGTCTGTCTTTGTTTCTTATGACTTTGAGTCTTTTGAAGAGTACTGGCCAGTTGTTTTGTAGAATGTCTCTCAATTTGAATTTATCTGATGTTTTCTTATGATTAGATTCAGGTTATGCCTATCTTTTTTTTTTTTCCTTCTCTTTCTTTTGTTTTCTTTTTTGCAAGAATACCACAGAAATGGTGTACCTTCCTCAGTGTGTCGTATCAGGAGGCAGTGATGTAGCTACCTATGTCTTGTTTCTGGTGATGTTAATTCTCATCAGGTTAAGGTGGTCTGCCTTCTTCATCATGGAGTTAATGTTTTCCCCTTTGTAATTAATAAGTATCTCGTGGCTATTGAAAATTTAAAAGTATAGCCCTACTAGTTAATGGATAAACAATAGTGTACAATATTGTTTTCTAGATTATCCTGTTAACCTCTTTGTGTGAGCGGGAGGTACATATAATCAAAAGATCACTGGATAGAATGATAAAGATCACTGGCTATATACATCTTAGTAGCTTTGTGACTTTATGTGGAGCTTAACCATTCTAAGTCTCAATTTGCCCTTCCATAAAATGGAATTATTTTTGACCTTGCCCATCTTAAAAGGCTAATGTGAGGATCAAATGAGTTAGAATATATGAAATGTCATAAATTATAGAGTGCTATTTAGGGAAGGTGGTGGTAATGTTCTCCTTCCCCATTCTTTACTGGGAATTCACCTTTTAGTTATAATAAGTAGTATTATTTAAAGTGATTAGCAGCTTTCTTTCAAATGTCATTAACCTGTCTGAACCTGCCTCGTTTGCTTTCTTAGAGACAAGGGTACTCTGACAGTGAATGCAGAGAAGTGTAATTAGAGCAACACTAAGCATTCTTTACCAACTTTTCTGAGTTAAATGCCCTGCTTCCCTGCTGCTTGCTCTCCCAAATCTTACTTTTCCCAAGCGATATAGGCTGTTGAAGCCTGTTACTTCTTTGGGTTCCATCTTGGGCCTCACTGTGTGGGAAATAGGTGTCCTATACCTCTTAAGCTTCCTTATTTTGTCCTGGGTTTCCAGGGGAACATGAGTGAAGTACAGCTGAAAGCCAAGTGTTCTTGTCTTCTTTCCTAGGCATGTATATGTTCATCTGCCTCTACTGCATGTTCTTTCTTTTATGGATTTTACACACTTAAGGTTTAGTGTACACTTCTTAAATTCTCTTTCTTGCCAACTCAGACATGTCAGAGGATCCAGAATTGAATGCTTCTGCCCTTTCTCTACCTTAAAGACCTATTCAGCTTTACTTTCTATCTTTAGACCAAGGGGCATAAAAAGTGAATCTATCTGTGCTCAAGTAGTCACGAGCTTCACTGTTTTCCTGGTGCTTAAACCAAGTAAAGATGGTTAAGTTATATATTAGTCTTTCAGGGCTGCCATAGTGAAATATGAGAGGCTGGGTGGCTTAAACAATGGAAACTTATTTTCTCACAGTTCTGGAGGCTGGAATTCCAAGATCAAGGTGCCGGGAAATTTGGTTTCTGGTGAGGGTTCTCTTCCTGGCTTGCAGATGGCTGTCTTCTTGCTGTGTCCTCACATGACCTCTTCTCTCCATGTGTATGGAGAGAGAATTCTGGAATCTCTTTGTCTTCCTATAAGGACACCAATCCTATCAGATTAGGGCTCCACCCTTATAACCTCATTTAACCATAATTACCTCCTGGAAGGGCCCTATCTCTAAATACAGTCACATTGGGGCTTATGACTTCAATCTGTGAATTTTGAGGGAACACAGTTTAGTCCATAACAAGTTATATTGCATGAGCACAGCTTATAGGAATCTATTCTTCTGGCAGAGAGCCAGAAGAAAACATGATGGCTCACTAAGTCCTTGTTTGTTGTTTGGATCTTATTACTGGTGTGGGTACAATGATATGTGTAATAGTTAATGGTAAGTCTAATTTTGAAAAAATTGGACAGAGTTTGAATTATTTTTTCTCCAAGCTAAACATGCACATACTCAAGGGTAGAAATACACTTTTGAAGTATTTTGCTGTTTTGGATTTTCTCCATCAGTGCTTCTGATGTTTTAACAACATGACATGTTTACAAAACGATAGAATGTTTGTAGCACACCAAGATAAAGAAATAAGGTGCTTAAGGCTGGTGGTAGTCTGTCCTCTGCCCCAGAACTCACCTGCCTGCCCTGAGGGCTGAGGAGAGAAATATCTCAGCCTGTCACTAGCACATGTCTGGTACACCAGTTGGGAACCTCTGCTGCTATTTGTTAGTGTAAATTCTTTATTTTAAATAGAAAATTATCTTTTGATTGGCCGTTATATGTTTTCCCCAAGGCCAACACAAATATTAGCCAATTAGATATACAGCAGCTATGTCCAATAAAATATTGTGTGATGATGGAAATATTCCATGTCTCCACTGTCCAATATGGTAGCTACAAGTTACATATGACTGACTCTTGAGCACTTGAAATGTGGCTAGTGCCACTGAAGAACTAAATTTTTAGTTTTAATTAATTTAAATTTAAATAGCCTTCTTTGTAGAGTAGGTTGAATTCTTGGGTCAGGAGGAAGAGGCAGTGTGGCTAGTGGCATTGGATAACACAGATGCAGAGGATAGCACAATACTGATCAGTATCTAGGTTTATAAAAAGAAAAAGTGAGAGTAAACAAGCTTTATTTCCAGCAGTGTCTCCTCGATTTATTTCTGCAGACAAGATAGGACCTCCTCTGTAAGGTAAAGAGATCATTTCATGTGGGTAGTAATGATGGCTAACAGTCATTCTTTAGCAGTCACCATGTGCCGGGTTCTGTGCTGTGCTCTTTACATTCATATCTCACTTAATCCCCTTATCAGCCTTGTGGAGTAGGTGCTCACAGATCAGAGAACTGTGGCTCATAGAAGTCAGCAGTGAGTCCAAAGGCACGTATCTAGTGAGTGAGCACACTGTGACTCAAACACAAGTCTCTTATTTCAAAATGATTTCTTCTGACTATTGTACCACATAATACAGCTTCCCATAAATGATCAAGAAAGCTGCCACTAGAAGGAATGAGGAAGGAAGAAATTACAGGGGTAGGAGAATGGCTTCGAAGAAATAGCTATTTCATTTAAACTTTAACGTGTTTCCTCTCTTTAGAATTCTGAGAAATCAGAATTTCTCTAGGTAATTTACTTTGTTCTCTCTTAGTGTTGGCTGAAGATATTTAGGGATGGGCACTGAACCTAGGCTCAAATTGATCTGTAGTTTTACTATTACTACGTTTACTATTTTGATAATATTGATGTCTTGGACACAAATAGGGCACTCTGATTATATCTCAAGGACCTGCATCAGAATGGTTTCTGCTGTAAGTAATAGAAAACCCTCCTCGACTGTTTTAAATAGTTAGGAGGTTATCTCACAGAACAAGAAGTCCACTGATGCGCGGACCTCAGGCACAGAAAGTATCAGTGCCGTGGCTCTGCGTGTCTTCACTTTTCCTCACCCTCTCCCACTTGGAGCGATGGTTTAGTCCTCAGGCTGAAAGCAGGATCCCTGCAACAGCTCCAGGTATTACATCCAAGCATGACATCCAGTGGAAGAGGAGGAGCCATTTCTTTTCTTTTTCTTTTTAAAAGCTTTTATTGTAGAAATTCTCAAATAAACTAGGCAGGAGTATAATAAACCTCTATGTATCCATCACCCAGCTTCAACAATGATCAATGTAGAGCCACTGTTATTTAACCTATTTTCCATCTTCCCTCTCCTTGCTCTGTGTGTGTGTTGTTGTTGTTGTTGTTGTTTGGTGAGGAAGATTGGCCCTGAGCTAACATGTGTTGCCATTCTTCCTCTTTGTTTGTTGCTTGAGGAAGACCATTGCTAACATCTGTGGCAGTCTTCCTCTATTTTGTGTATGGGACACCACCACAGCATGGCTTGATGAGCAGGGGCAGGTCTGCACCCAGGATCCAAACCCGCGAACCTCAGGCTGCTGAAGTGGAATGCGCAAACTTAACCACTACACCACCAGGCTGGCCCCATTCTTGCTGTGTTTTTGAGAGCCAAAGAATGTTTTTTACAAGTCCTATTGAAAAAAATATCATGGGCAGAGAGTTTCTTCCTCCTCTGATTTTTCCCAGACTACTCAGGACCTACGTTTTGGAGCTAAGTATGGGGTCAGCCTTCCCTGAAATAAAGACTCTGTAGAGGTGGTGGGTTCCTGGGGAGGGGGAAAACAGGTTTTGTTAGGTAGGAGGAAGAGGCAATGAACAATATCTGCTCTGGGAAAGATATTTCATAACTTATTTGGCTCATCTTTAATATTGCTTTAAAAAAAACTAATTTAATTGATTGCTTAGGCTGGACTTGTTGGGTGGGATCACATGGGAGCTACATTGTGACTGGGTGTTTAGCTGGTTTAAAAATGCAGTTTCACCTGTTAGTGGTAAGCTCTAAGGAATTGTTTCCTGTTGACCAAACTGACAAGAAATCAAGCTTACTCATTGGTTAACATATAGTAAATAACTAATATATAAACTGTAGTCTGTAAAGAAGACTTAATTGGTAAGAGTTCAAAGAAGGGGAATTGTTATTTCCATTGAGCAATGAAGTATTGTTAATATTATCTCTCTGTTAATTTGTTTCCAAAGTATGGTTTGTAAAAGAGCTATTTCTCTTGCTTTTAGTGGCATTTATTTTCAACTGGCTTGGATTTTGTTTATCCTTCTGTATCACCAATACCATAGCTGGAAGATATGGTGCCATCTGTGGATTTGGCCTTTCATTGATCAAATGGATCCTCATTGTCAGGGTGAGTGTCTTGATAGCCTCTATCACTTTTATCTCTAAAGTTAAAATATGTGAAATTTCCTGTGTGGTTCATCAATGTTCATTTAATGTATATCAACTCAATTAATTCAAGACTTAACTTATATACTTAATTATTGTAATGATCTCTGTAGTGTGAACATTTTATAATTATAGGAGAGCTTGTTAGTACATAGAAAGAGCTTTGAAATCAGAAAAATTTGAGTTCAAATCTTCTGTTTTTTTTATTTAGGGTTCTAACTTTAAGTTTTTAAATTGTTTTGAGCATTAGTTTCTTCATAATAGGCTGATAATAGCTGCCTTTCAGGATTTTTATGAGTTATAGAAATACATAAAATCAGAATACCTTGCCCAACTGCTGCTCAAATATATGTGCTCAACAAGTCATGACTGCCACTGTTGTAGCACAGTGCAGGCAAGTCTCAGATCAGTTAACACATCAACGTTTCTATTGGTTAGTAAAGTTGTCACGGACTTAAATATCTTCTCACTTCTTTTAGTAACATTAAGAGCTCAAAAGTAAAGCAGAAGCCTTTGAGGTGGCTATCAGAGCCCGTTTTTTTCCTTTATGTTCCTTGTTAGCCTTTCTTCTCATTTTCCTGTTGGTCCTGGAAGTCACCCTCTGTCTGCTTCTTGCCATTTACAAGATGGTGTGTAGGGAGATGATAACACATCCTTTTCTTTCTCCCGGCTCAACAACTTTTCTAGACCCCAAAATAATTTTCCTTAACTCTTGTACACGCATTAGTGTTGTCAGCATAATCCTCCCCAACTCTTTACCTTTACCTCCTCAAGCCCCTTTTTTGCTCCTTTTTACAAAGCTTTTTTTCGTAGTTTCTTTAGGATAAGGCTTAGGAGAACAATCAAGAGTGGCTTTATTTATTGTTTTAAGAAGTCCTCTTTTAAAAGTTACCCACACATTTAGGGGCCAGCCCCATGGCTGAGTGGTTAAGTTTACGTGCTGCACTTTGGCAGCCTGGGGTTTGCCGGTTTGGATCCTGGGTGAGGAACTATACAACGCTCATCAAGCCATGCTGTGTGGCATCCTATATGGAGGAACTAGAATGACTCGCACCTAGGATATACAACCGTGTACTGGGGCTTTGGGCAGGAAAAAAAAAAAAGAAGGAAGATTGGCAACAGATGTTAGCACAGGGCCAATCTTCCTCAAGAAAAAAAAAGTTGCACACTTAAATGCTGTTATACAATTAGTAAAATACATAATTTCTGCATATCATGTTTATTTAAACATTGATTTCTAATTGAATGAGTCAAATCCTCCTGAAATTTTCAGTAGAATCACATACTAATATGTCAGCTTCTCTTAAGTGTTTCAGACACTTCAGTTACGTGCCTACATTATCAAATTGATTTAAAAATACCCATTACAAAATATTAAAACTATGGATTTAATGTGGTTTTTTAAATTATTTTTAAACTTATTTTATCACTTCTCAGGGTTTCAGTAATCTTGTCAGACCCTGTCTCTGTTCAGACCAGATTATGAGTTTTGGTTGTTAATCAGTTGATTCTTGGTTGGGAATCTGTGGACTGGCTTCTTCTAAGATGATTAAAACATGGGCTGTTGTAAGAACTGCCCCTGACAGGTTCTTGTTCTAGTTTTGTTTTCGAAAATATAAAGTGGGTTTCCACCATTAGCATGAATTTGTTAGGTGTTATGGAGCATTCAAAGATAAAGAGACAATCCCTCCCCTTGCAGAAGCTCTTACTAGAAAAACCTCAAAAGTCTTGGCGCTAAATATGTCCCACTTTGGTTATATTGTTAGTAGAATTAATTACAGTTGTTCAAATGGGATTTCTCATCCAAGTCACAGAACACAGAAGATGATTTGAAGACAGTTTTCTCAATTCTCCTAAAGTTAGTAAATTGCTAGTGTCATTCTAGATTCATAAAAAAGATGTTAGTCTATTATATGCAACTTACGCCATTAGGGTATTAAGGCCCGATTCTCTCATAGAACCGCAGGTTGAGAAGGGGTTAGATTATCTATAAGTAATCAACATCAGTTAATGTGCTAAGATGGGGAACTTAAATTCAAAGACTGGAGTTTCTCAATGCTGTAAGGTGTGTACTAGCATCAAGTTTCATCACCAGGACTGTTTAGTTTCCTTTTAAAATACCTTTACTGAATTAAGGTTAATATTATACCTTTAGTTGTATGTTGAGAATTGATATAAGAAAAGGATTTTTAAAAATCTTTTGTGTAAAATAACAGTAGCTGCCATTCATTGAGTACCTACTATGTTCCAGGCATAATTTGTTACAAACACTAATTTTTTTAAGCCTATCTGAATCAGTGATGCAGGTGTTAATCCAGCCATTTTATTGATGATGATACTGAGAATAAAAATAGCCTAGTAACTTGCCCAGTGTCCCACAGTTGGTATGTCCCACTGTTGGTAGGATGTAGCCTGGTCGCACTTCAGTGCCCATTCTCCTAATTCTGTGCTGCCTCTGACAGTGACACTGTACTTTGACTTCTATTGTAATGCTCCAAGCAGTAAACTCCCCTTGGAGTTCAGCGCTGAGGGAAAGGTTTACTCCCAAAAGCCTACTGTTTCCTTTTATTAGACAATAAGTAATTTATAAATCATTACTGCTGCTTTTCTTTTTGTTTCTGAGGTGCCGTGAACCTCAGATCTAGTGTAAATATATTTATCCCAAGATTCTGATATTATTTTTGTCTAAGGCTTTTGATGTTTTTATTGTTAGTTTAAAAACACATATGTTTTATTAAAAATGAACAAGTCTTTTTGAAAGTAGACAGGAGGTAAACAATAAAATACTGGTGTTAATAAAATAAAATCAGATAAATTCTTATTGTTGGTTAAGTTATTTTTCAAAATTTTATTTCTGCAGCCTGAGTTTGGCCAATCAATATTATTGATATGTTTATTTAAAAATAAAACCAACAGGGGCCGGCCCAGTGGCACAGCAGTTAAGGGCACACGTTCCACTTTGGCGGCCCAAGGTTCGCTGGTTCGGATCCCAGTGTGGACATGGCACCGCTTGGCAAGCCATGCTGTGGTAGGCATCCCACATATAGAGTAGAGGAGGATGGGCATGGATGTTAGCTCAGGGCCAGTCTTCCTCAACAAAAAGAGCACGATTGGCAGCAGATCTTAGCTCAGGGCTAATGTTCCTCAGAAAAGTAAATAAATAAATAAATAAAACCAAACAACAACTTGGCTCAGCCGTATGATTTTTAGTATTTTAAAACATTTTTGATAAACTCAGGAATGACCCCAAAAACTTAGCACTTTATCTTTTTTACATAGTGAGTCTTTCTCTTTGACTTCAAAGTGGAGGTAATTATATTCTTCGCTTTGGAGTAAATAAAGAATAGCTTTAGGTCAATATTTTTGGTCAAGGATGACATTGTTCTTAATTTTCTGGTTGCCTCTTGCCAGGTAATATTATATAGTAAGTATATTTTAAAATATGTTTAAAAATTAGAAAGTTAAAAATTTGTTTCTTTGGTTCTTTATTCTTTTTTGTTCTTATAGCCTCTAAAACCTACACAAAAACCTTTAATTTCTAATTATTAGTCACTTGATTAAAAAGTAATGTAATGCAGTCCTACTTTACAAGCTATATTTTCTAATTTTTCTAGTTCTCCCTTCATTGTACATATTTTAAGGGTGTAGAAATATCTGGGATTTGCATCTATAAAAGTACTTTGAAGTTTTTAATCTTTAAAATTTCTAGAACTCTAAGCTGAAAATTTAGATCATGGTTCATTTGTTAATTGTAGTACTTCCTTTGAAAGTACTTAAAAGCTTTAAAAAGACAGATTTAGATAATCTTTAATAGATATGTTTTCTCAATAGTGACATTATTTACAATTTGTAAGCGTTTTTGTTATAACCAAAGCTATAGGATTTTTAAGCTTTTATGGAAATTACCAATGAATAGTTGCAAATAATTACCTCTGAAGTTGGCAGTAAATTCTTTTAATTAATTTCAAATTTGAGGACAAATCTGCATTTAACAAAATCATTTTTACTTAAATCAGATTCAGTTTGGAGACCAATGGAATCAGAGTAGATAAAAGAAGCTAATTTTTAGCAATTTTAGATTATATTAAACAGTCTTAAAAACCAACTGTTTTGGAGCATTGTTTAGGTGCTAAAGGGTAATAGTGAAGAATTATCTGAAGTAACTCTGAAGAAAATTAGATTGACTTCTTAAGATAGTGATCACAATGTCCAGAGTCTAATCAAGGAAAAGATACCTGGGTCCAGTATCATCAAACTCTGCCTTCCATCTGCCTGTTCATAGTCTCATTTCACAGAAAACGTGTAACTGTCTACCATGGCCACTAACAGGAACTGTTGAAATGCCACTTCAAGGTTCATTTAGCTGTTCTCAGCTCTCTGCTGGGAACTGAATGCTGGAGCATCTAGTTTGAAAATAAAAAGACTCTAATGAGTTGGAGGTCTTTATGTGCCTAGTATTCTTGGCAGTGATTAACAGTAGGGGGTGTACAGAAGGTCAAAAGCTCTTCTTTTTAGAGGTCGGGAGAACATCCCCATCTGATAAGATTAAACTAATGTGGCTTTTGGTGTTAATATCTAAAGCAGCGGGTTGCTGTAGTAGTGTGTTTGGGATGGTAGTTGTGGCTTTGAGAGATTATGAAAAAAGAACTGACATATGAACTCTTTAATGAGAAAGTGTTGGATTCAGATGTATAGCATTTACCTTTCTTTCTTACAAACATTTGAAACTGATTTTTGTTTCTAAAATATTTTGCATAAGTTTGTTTGCTATTATATAAGAGATTCTTTTCTCAAATAATTATTTATGTCATTAAGTATTTTTTTCCTTCTCTATTTTTCTTTTTATGCTGTTTTATGTGCTAAAGATTATTTGAGGTAAATCATTCTGAAACTGAGGCTAATCTATGATTTTCAAATTTTGGTACATAAATATGTTAATATTTTTATGTTCACTCCATAGTTTTCAGATTATTTTACTGGATATTTCAATGGACAGTATTGGCTTTGGTGGATATTTCTTGTACTTGGTAAGTTTATTCTTAATGCATTTCAGTTTGGTAATTTGCATTTAGTTTAACTTTGGTTTTTCCTAAAACTGTAAGATGTAAATACATTGTGTTACAACTTACGTGGAAATAATTTTTCAACTATAAAATTCTCATATCCAAACACTTATATCATCTCAGCTCTTTAACTGATTCTACGTAGCATTCTAGATTTCTGATTTAAAATCCAGAGGCTGTCAGTTTAAAGAATCAGTGGTTGAATGATAAGGGAATGCTGCAAAACTTGAAAATCTTCAGATGATTAAAAAATAATTGTCTTCAGCATTTATTTTGGAAAATGTACATGCATAATTTCTTTTAATGATCATAGGAAATGTTGAGAGTAGGATAGTTGGATATTTTATCTATTCTCTTATTTTTGGATCATTGAAGCATTCTTTATACGTTTGAAATGTACCCTGAATTAATCATTAATCAGCCAGGCATAAGGAAGGGCTTCATGCCTAATGATCACAGACTTCTGTTCAGATTTCTTCTTACAAGGCATGTCTTTTTATTAATATTGATGAATTTTATGGATTTCCACTTTTTATTCCCTATGTTTTTCACTTTGGATGAGTTAACCTTAAAATCACATTGTACCTTTAATCCACTTTTCCAATTTGTTTACTGACATGAAGAATACATTTTGTTTCTACTTAGGTTTAAAAGCCCACATTTCTCCGCTGACATCATTCTACCAGAAAATAATAGCATTTCAGTAGGTGGCAGTATTCTCCTTAAGTTTTTATTTAGTTCTGCTGTTGGATCTTTAGGATCTTTTGGGAAACAAATTCTAAGTGGTCAGTTAAGGTCATTAAAGAGCTTGGATTCTTTCTCTAATAATTATAGTGAAATCGTTCTAGTGTTGTGATTTTCTTGGGAAGTCAGACTCATACAAGGGTTTAGTCAGTTTTTTATATTGTTAATTGTGTTCTGACTACCTGAATTCTATGCTCGTTTATTGACTCTCTTACTTAAAAGTGAAAAAATGTACGAAGTCTCTTAGGTATTTCAGCATATTAAATGAGCATTTCTGCTTATAAATATTATTAAGGTATTGAGCAGTCTTAGGAAGAGGACTGTGGGGCAGAGTGAAATGCAGAGGACAACCCCAGTTCCACATCAGAGCCATAGTCTAGCCTTTAGGGGAATGTGAACATTTAATCGATGAAAAAAATGTTGCCCTCACATATACTCCTAAGGATGTTGCACATTGTAGAATGCTGAGAAATGATAGCTGCTGAGTGATTGGTTTCTAGATATAAATTGGGCTATTTTAGAAAAATGCCTGAGCAGAACATGCCTTGCTTAGAAAAAGCAGCTTCTTAGACAAATGAAGAGATTTCACAAATAATTTTGGTTTATGTTTTTCAGTAATGCTTTTGCATTTGGATCACAATACCGTTATCTTTGAACAGCATCTGGAAGGGCATGAGGGTGGAATTTAGAGCGGGAGTCCGAAATGGAAGGAGTTAGGATATAAGAAGCAGAAGGGATCAGATTTAGCTGAAATTTCTACCATTTGTTCAAGTCATTATTTGTATCTCTCTTCTATCTCCCTATCTATCATAATCATGTGTCTCTTTTTAGTGGTGTGATTACTGTCTTGGAGTTGGGGTACAAATTTAGTTTGGGACTTTGCATTTTAAATTGACAGACTCTTCCTCCTGGTGAGGAAAGTTGCTTGTATACATATCTTCTGTTTTCGTTTTTGCTGGCCACCATTACCTGGTTAAAAAGTTACTGGAGTTAATAAATGTTTCCCTTAAAATTGTATGCTTAAGTATATCAAAGACTTAACTCTACTGATAGTGGTAATGCTTCCTATACTTAGGTAATATTTTTCATTTGAGGCTTTTGACGGCCATTATCTTATTAATTACCAAAGATAGCTATAATGTAAATGGTTATTATTTTAAAATACTTTTTTTTACAAGGGGAGCACTGAGATAGATATGATAATATCCCATATCACTTAAGAAATCACTAGAGTGGCTGCTTCCCAAGTCTTCTTTCCTGATTCTTCTCATCTTAATTTTTATTATAAGTTTATCTTTTTTATTACTTGAAAATAAGAACTAATAATTAAAATTATTTACATTATGTATCTTCAAATACAGATTTCACAGATGACAGGCATTGATATTGCTAGACTGACTTATTGGTTTTATCCCACAGTTGTTAGCAATTGCATGCATGTATTCTTTCTTCAATACTATATATCAGTAAATATGTCCTAGTTTGCTTAGTGGTTATAGTTATTGAAAAGTTTGGTATAATATGGGGTTTCTATGAGGTGAATCAGTTTAAACGCATTAGATAGCTTTGCCATTTAAGGAAATCACTTAATAAACATATATTTTTGTGTTATTCTGGATTTTCATGGCTGGATTGGCTTTACTTCAATTTTTACTTTACTTTAGATACATCGAGGCTTAACAAATTGGAAGAAGTTTTGGGTGGCAGTAAAATTTTGTTATACTTCCTCATGATAGAATTATTATTATAGTGTAAAATAAATTATGGAATGAATGGAACCCTACAGATTAAATTCCTTAAGCCAGAAAGATCTTGTTTATAATTGTCTGTTTTAAATTTATCATGCCCCCTCTCTCTATAAAAACATAATACATCTGTATTATTTCAACCTTCTTAGGTCTGCTTCTTTTCTTCAGAGGATTTGTTAATTATCTAAAAGTCAGAAACATGTCTGAAAGCATGGCAGCTGCTCATAGAGCAAGATATTTCTTCTTATTATAGAGGTAAGAATATTAATATGTTAAACTCTCTTTATTCCCTTTATGTATTCAAATTTACCAGATGCGTATTAAATGCTTAATGTGTACTCATATTATTTACTCAAATTTAGCATATTAATGTTTTTATACTGTTAATTAGCCTATTGAAATTTAATAAGTTGTGAATTTTTAAAGATAACTTTGATTTTTAAAATTGAATTTCATAAATTTTAATTTTTTAAATATATTATGAGTAAACTGAAACTTTAAATCAGATTTTTAAAACTTCTTTTTAAAGACTGACCACAAGATGTGTATGAGTAAGCACCAGCACAAAATTTGAAAGCTTGAAAAGCAATATATGACAAAGCACTTAACCAGAAGGGTTGGGCATTTTGCATAAAACAATGTGAAATCCACATAGACATCTGGTGAAAGAAATAAAAAAATCTGTGATCGAAAAGCAATTTACCATGCACTGATCTTAACAAACTGGAGGAAGGAATAAAATTTGTGTGAAGAAAATAGGAGCTGTTCTTGTTTTTTTTAGTGTGTGCCAATTTGTATCAATAATGAAAGCTATAACTTGAATAAATGGGAATATAAAGAAATGAGCAGAGGTTGTCTTGCTAGTTATCTAGTGAGTTTCTGGATATAGTATATATATTAATAGTGTTTATTTATTGTGCGCCTAGTAATGTCTTCACATTAAGAGACCTCATATCTCTACTCTTTATACGATTTTTAAAGCAAGTACCGTACACTTTATATCTATAAATGATTTGAACTTTTGAAGTATTTGAACTGCATAAGCATGTCTTCTAAAACACTTAACTTCTCGATCTGTCTACAAGTACAAAATGGCTCAAGGTTACTAACATTAAATATTCTTTTAATAAATTGTATGGTTTGTGATTTGGTTGCTTAAATTTTATTTATAACTTAGATGAATTTACATAAGCTAACAGAATTTACTTATTTCTGCTGAAGAGTACAATGAATACAAATACATTTCTAGGTCATATTAAAGTATCAATTTTAATGTTCCATTAGGGTTTTTTCCTCCCCCTAGATGTCACATTTTCTCTTTAACCAGTAAAATGTCTTTGCAATCAGTAACATTGAGTTTGTCAGTATTAACTGTGAGATAAAAAGCAAAGTCATTTTACTAATTTAAATGATCTTCTGTGAGTATTCAGTGGGATTATTTTGTTGGCATTTTCAAGAGTCTAAAATATAATGTAAATATTTTCTAGACAGTCTCCTATGGAAGCTTAAACTTTAGAATATATTCTGATATATGCTACTTTATGTCATCTTTATCAAAAGAACATTATATACTTGATGTAATACTGCTATAAAATGGTTTTTGTTGTACTATCATTTAGATAATTGAAATTTAAGACATTTTAAGACTAATTTTTTCTTTGTCCCTAGACTGCATCGACCAGACATTCCTTTCTGACACCAATGTGAAACTTCCAGACATCTGTAAACCTACAACTTTAATGGGATAGAAGACTACTAAAAACAGAAGACCGATTAGTGACGAAAAGATAGAGCTTCCAAATTGAATGGCAGGGTGGTTTACGCTTAAAAGCCATTTCTGTTCATTCTCTTAAATATTTATATTTCATTTGTTTTGCACATTTGCATATGTGCCCATTTAAAAGATTTGCATATACTTGGAAGAGACCGTAAAGTTGTAGCAGTAAAGTCCAATCACATTTGGTTAATCAGTGTTTGATATAATTGAAAGAGTTGAGTGATAGCCAGTCTTCCAGCATGAAATGCCATTGACTTCTGACCTGACTTTTAGTATAATAAAAATAAAATTATTACCCATGTCGAATGCTTTAGTTTCTGGCTCTTAGATTCACGTAGTAACTCCACACGTGAAGCATCCTTTCTTATATACAAGGGTTTTGAAACGTGCATTGCTGACTATTAGAAAGGCTTTGTCAGATTTTTGAACATGATATTTATATCATTATTTAGCAAAATTCTTTCTGTAAATAACCATACATAAATTACTTTCTGCAGTGTTTTCTTAGAAATGTGTCCAGATATCTTTTCGTTAATTTTAAATTAAGTGAACTTAATATATAGAGAAAATTTGGGTGTTAAAGATAGATTGTTTTAGGACAAATTTTAAGAAAATGTGGGTATTCAATATGTCCTTTACAAGATAATCTTTTTTTTTTTTTTTTTAAAGGACTTGCCAGTTTTAGGGGTTCTCAAATGAGAAGCTTGGTTTTTAGCATTGCCTATTGTAGAGATTCTTGCAGGAGGAGATTGTGTTAGATATTATATTTATTTCATTTAAGACATTTTTGAAAATTAATTTTCTGATAAGATATTCTCATTTGCATTTATCTTTTAAAAAGCCAATAAAAGTATCTTTCAACATCATTGTAATAATTTTTTCCTTTAGATGTTTAGTTTCTGAAACTTAGCAAATAAAAACTTGTACATTAACAGCTTCTTGCATTGTAATTGTAGGATTAACTTGTAAAAATCATATCCTAAATTGAGATATGCAAAATATCTGTTTTAAAGTTCTGGAAATATGTCTGTGGAATATAGGGATATGGGGGGTGTGTGTGTTGCGAGAGTATGTGTGTATGTGACCATTATTACAACTGGAATCGACTTTACATCCATAAGCTACTACATTTTGCAAATCATTTTATGTCTCATCTGTTTTCTTTTCAGTTATATCTTTGCTTTTGAATGCCAACATTAAAAATGATGGGACTTGTGTCATCTTTTAAACTTAAAAATCATTTAATGCAGCTATATAGAATATATAAAATTGCTTGTTTCTTACTAGACACTGACTACTACTAAAAGATACATCTAAAACTATTCAGGGACATTTTTCCATTTCTGAAAAAATAAAATTTATTATGCTTTATAACTTCTTTTGTATTTCTCTGTATTTTCTGATTTTATTTCATTGTCTTTGATAAATAAAACATGCAGCTTTGTTTTGCTAATTGAGCCTCCTATTTTTTGTTTTCTCTCATTCATTCTCTCCTGCATAGAATTTTATGGTTGATTAAAGTACCATATTACACCCCTGGCAGTAAAACAATAGCATGGGGGAAAGAAAACAAAATATTGAATGTCGTTTTCTGATTTGGAAATTAAAATTTGAATGTACTTATAAGAAATGTAAACTCATGCTGGATCTCTTCTTTATCTCATTAATTTCCTATAGACATATACTTTGTTTTTTGTATTAATTTTTAAATGAAATTAAGCTATGATACATGGTAATTTTAAATTACTAAATCAGCTATAAACACATCAATTTATTAAAATTTTATTTTATTTTGTGGTATTTATATTTGGTTTCTGAATGTGAGTATGTCACTTTTGATTCAACATCAAAAGTTTACTTTTTGTTTTGATTTTTTTCCCTCCAAATCTATAAGATTTCACTGTGCGTGTTACCTGATCCTTCATAATTGTTGCAATTCAATGGTAGCCTTAAATCTCATCATCCATTCAGGGGTATCAGAATATTATTTTTAAAAACCTAACCTCTTCCAGATTTCTCAAACCCTGCATCCTTCCCCTCATTTCCTGTGAGCTGCTGTTGTGTTTTGGGGACACTTAACCACACTTAGGCTGTACCTTAAAGATTGAAAATCATAATCTTTGTTGGGTGTATAAACAATTTTTGAATGAATGTGAACTGGGCCTTGGGAGTAATGCAAAAGTTTATTAAATTATTTCTGTTATATTTGAATTAGCTAGTTATGGCCAGGGTAATTCATTTTTATAAACTGAATCTAAGATAAAAATGCATTTTTCTAAAAAGTGTGTTCAGAATGGATTTTATAAATTTAAAATTGAAATACAAATCTTATTACATTCAGTTAAAATGAGAATCTCTGTTTAACAAAAAATATTAATCTCTAGCCCTTTATTTTGCGTCTGTAAGATATATCACGTCTTTGAGGTTGTTCACAAATTTTAACCTGTTAATAATCACTAATATTTCCAGCAAAACCTCTTGTAATAGGAAAAGTGGAGTCCGAAAAATTCAGGGTTCCTTAATTTAACTTGTTTTTCAGCTGTTCTATACCGTCCCCCAAAGCACAGAAGTAATGATAATCCATCTGATCCCGTTTTTACTAGAATGGCATGTGTCCTGATTTTGCTCAGAACAGTGCTGGTTATTCTGTTTTCTCAGCTTAAATAGTGCCTCCTCTCCCGAAAGTGTCCTACTGTGGAGGCTAAATTATATGTGATCGCCCTGTATACCTCTGTGCACTGTACTGAGCAGTGACTGCCTAAGCCCATCACCTTTTGAGAGAAGGAACTGGAGCACTGGGGCAGGAGCCAGTTTGTGTCGTCACAGCCTTTCCTAAAACCCGACCACTTGGCCTGTAGAACACGCATAGTATCTTTTCTTTTTTGATAAAAGTTGTATTGGAATGATTGCAGCTTACAGTAAACGGTAAACAATGAGATCTTATATTTTTAAACTGCTGTTAAATGTTATTTTAATTGTTGATTACTTAATTCTTAAAAGTCATATGAAATATTAGTGTATTATTTTTTAAAACCTCATCCTTGATAAAGTTCAACTGTTAGATGATAATGTGCCATTTAGTATTATAGGATATCTTTGCCCATATATAAAACATGCTGACGTGTTTTACTTGTTAATAAAGTTTTATAGATGTGGAAATGTGAACCTGTGATGCCTCTTTTTGAAAATCAGTGTAAGATCCACAATATGTCACCACCACCTTGGCTTCACAAAGTGTTTATCTGGTAGACCTTATTTGAGATGAAACCAACTGGCGTGGAATTAGTTTGGAGTGTGGAACATCATTTAACTTGTCACAGTAATTTGTATGTTAGGAGATAGATTACCGTTTAATTTTAATAAATGCAAAAAACCAGCTTTATGGAAATAAATTGTGTTCATTTCTACTTTGCAAAAGATCAGTGGTCACCCTAGGTCAGACCTGCTTATGGGCTTGTATTATTATTTGGGCCTCATCACCTAAAGTGCAAAACTTCCCTCAAGTTATTTAGAAAAAAGGAAATCAAAAACTTCATTCCATACCTCATAAAAGTTTAAAAAATGTCTATTTTGAACTCAATATATTTGCTTGTTTTACCTTAATGTTTTCAGTTTAGCTTCATTTTTTTGTCTTTGTTTTGAGAGATTGAGCTACCCGCTTCTAAAAAACCCTCTTGATTTTCATGAAAACCGTTAAAAAAAAAATCCAGTAGCTAAATAGAGAAGAGATAGAGTGTTACCCCTTTAACAGCTGAGTTTATAGCAAGCCAAAATCATACACTTCCAGTTCACAGAATCTTCGAGGTTGTTTTCCTATCTCACACTTGCAAAAAGAACCACTTTATTACTTTCCCACTCCTTTTGTGTTTGTTTTAATTAAATCAACACTTTACCTTCGGTGACACAAGAAGAAGGGGCATAGGCTATCTGTCCTTAGAGCATAGTTTCTTTTCTACTTTTACCTTTACCAGAAGCCATAGCAAGATCAGCAAGTAAAACAAAAGTTTGCCCAAAGCTCAGGAGAAATCTGGAGGGCAGCCTCTGCCCTCAAAATATGAAAAGTAGCAAATAACCTTGTTGGAACGTATGAACTCTTCAGAGGTACAAGAACAGTACTTGTGCATAAATCTCTAGTGTGGAAATATATTTATTATTCCTTTCTCATTAAACTTAGTTTCCCAGCCATCTGAATTCCTGCGTGGTGATTTCAGTTGGCTATGCAATCTATGGGATTTGGGCTCTAAAATTTTAATTCCCATTTAATTCATTCAGAGATAAGACCTAAAGATTCTTAATTGCTAGCAAGCATAGGTGACCATTCATCCTAATATAATAGGTGGTGATGGAGTAAGTGTGAAGTATCACTTCCTAAATCCAGATTTTTAAGATGATGAGCAGACTATGGAAAACATCATCAGTTCATTGAGAGTTAAGAACTTTTAAAAGACATCTGAGTCTTACATTACCGTAATCCTGTGGGATCTCCAGGGATGAATTCTTGATCGAATGATTCTTAGGACCTCTCTCTAGAACTTGATTGTTCTTCAATATGGTACGTTGTAATCAACTGGGAGTTCTGGGAGAATTAACATTCCAGCTTCAATTTCCGGAGGTTCAAATGCAATACATCTGCGCCATGCAGCACATTTCCTTCCCGTAGTTTGAAGTTCTTGGATTTTGGTCTAGTAGTATTGCTGATTCCTTGTGTCTTCTCTATATCTAGCTTCTTGTGTAGACATGATAAAAAGCTAAAAGTGTTAGGATCAATGTATCAGTCAGACTTTTTGCAGGGAAAGGAAAAAGCACATAAAACATCTTAACAAGTGAATGAGCATTTCTTGAGTTCTTGCTTTCTGACCTCCCTGAATGAGAGCTCTTCTGGTTTCCATGCCTTTACACACACAACATGGCTCTGCAGTGCTGTATCACCAGGGCAGTGCTGGGAGCCTTGTGACAGAATGGAGCCATTTGTGCTGAGAAGGCAGGTATTTTCTCCCTGATCCTGCAAAGCGAACAGAATTGGATTAATTATCATACAGTTGATTTTTCTTGTCTCAAAAAAATACAATTTCTTGCCACTAGCATCTTCCCTTCTCTATCCTGGAGGAGCCTATGGATTTTCAGAGAGGGAGCTTTGTGTAACAGAAAGACTGAGTTTGGAGCCAGATTAACCCTGGACTCAAATATCAACTCTCAGGCAAGTCCAGGCAATTTGCTTAACCAAAGCCTCAGTTTCCTCACCTGGTGGTTGGGAAGCACAATACGTACCTGAGGATTAGGTGAGATTTATATAAAAGAAAAAGGTAGGCATTATTACATCTTTGCTCAGTGTGCTTCCTGACCAGGCTGCCTATTAGTCTTAGCAGATGCCTCCAGGACTTGAAATAAACTCTTGCCTGATGTGGGCATTGTATCTGCCAGTCCTTTTGAAAAGGGTGATTATAATAGGATCATGTTGGCCTAGTATTGGCTCCTTATATCTTCTCTGCGGCAAGTGGAATTAAAGCAAAAGTTGCTTAGATGACAGCTGATTTTAAGGGACACAATCACGCAAACAGGGGAAGGGAGTTTCATATTTACCAAGCAAGAAGGCACTCCAGGTGGTGGGGAGCGAGGAAGCTCACACAGATCTCCCCAGGGCAAAGCTGGGAGGCCCCAGAGGCCAGTCCCTGGGTTTCACTGTAAATTGATGAGAAGATACTGCTTGAGAACTGGTGACTCATTGCTTTTGCTCAGGGAGCCAGTGCACTGAAATCCTGGCTGGGAAGTGATCAGAAAAAAAGTTGGAGGGCAGGTTGTTTCTGATTCTAGGATAAATTACTTCACTAGCTTTCTCATAATCATGGGTTCTTAATCTCGGATTTATTTTCAAAAATGTCTATTACTTCAAAAGGGAAATACTTAGATGGGAGTTAAGTCCCCTAGACTCTACCCTGATGGTAATTGGGGTCAATTAAATATTTTTGAGTGCCTGTTCATAGTTCTTGAAGGGGCGATGCTGTTGCCTCCACATGAAATCCATCCCCTACCCTATTCCTCTTTCCACCTTCATCCAAAATTGCATATTGGGAAGCCTTTCTCTCTCAACCTTTCACTCTAATTCTGGTCCTCTTGGTTCCCCTAGCCCTGTGCCTTATTTCTGTCAAGGTGGCTATGACACTGCACTGACACTGATTTTTGTGTTACTATTCTCAATGGTAGATATTGTATCTTATTCAGCTTTGCATGCCTCCCCAACACCTAGCCCAACACCTAGCACAGAGCTCAATAAATGGAATGAATGGATGGATGTGATGAATGGGATGGCTGCTAGTGCCAGGCTGTGTGTATACCGGGACGCATAGAATGCTTTCTGCACTTTAACTCTGAGTCTAATTGAGGAAGATTTAGAAACAGGAAAATGTGCTAATGTGAGGTAGGAAGAAAAATCATGAGTCCAAGCAATCGATCTCT